TAGTATTGCCAGGAGTAGTAATGCCAGGAGCTACTAGTAACTAGCTTCTTGCTCCTAGTAGTAATTGCAGGGGCTACTAGTAGCTTCACAGTTTGGCCTGGCAGATCGTGTCACTCCAGAACCGTTGCGCATCGGAGCTGTCATTCGGACTGAACCGCTGCAGATGTGAGTCAGATTTGGATTTGAACGGTTGAAAGAAGTAATTGGCGATTGTGCGGTTGACGTGCAGGAGTCTTGTGGATGACCGTCAACAGCTGCTGAACGCCTGAACCCTGAACGATTTGGACATTAGAGCGGAAGCATCACGACTTTGTCATAAGTTATATTTGCATATATCATATATATATATATACCCGGCAGGGAGCCATGTTGGATGAGTTGGGACAAGTTTTCAGCTGGCTTGTCCATTTGCAAGGGTTTTGGATCCTTTTGATTCCTTCTCGAAGCTGAATTGCTGATACTTGTTGCAGCATATTTGTTAGGCTGGCCACAGGCTGCTTACCGACCGGGACAATGAAAGACCATAAGATTCTCGCACTTGAAGCCACCCTCCCATCAGCCGAACGCAGTCATGGATGCTGCTTCTGAGCACCGTGAACCTACAGGGCATTCGCCTGCAGACTCAGCTTGAAGAAGACTAGATTCACTCCAGCTGGCAACGAAGATGCCACACTTGAAAGTGCAATTACTGGTGAAACTCATGGAGAAACCACCGCAGCCCACGTGCCACTCAAGCTACATGCCCGTGTAGCAGTAGGGAGTGGACATGCGTTCCTCGCCCGACGACCTCGAGCATATCTTACGAGAGCTGGGGAAAGGCCAATGGGCGAACCCAGAAGCTTGGATGCTTTGAGATCAGAAAGCTTCGCCTTACCCAATTGCGCTGTGGCTGGTGGCCACGAAAGAATATTCGGAGTCGTTAGGCCTGGTGTGCGTAGGCTACAGGCCATCGCTATTGGGTTGAAGGCCATCGCTAGTAGGTTGGAGGCCATTGCTACTAGGTTCCTTAAAGCGTGGCATTTGAGAGGTGGGGGTACATGGCTTTGAAACACTTATATTTTTGAATGTTCCAGTCAATGGTCCACTTGCAGACGTTGGGCGTCCATGTTCAGGACTGCTTTGAAGAAGATGCATCTACAGGCAGCGTTCACTCGAGTGGCTTGCGAACCTCAGCAGAGACATGTTTTTCGACTTTTTGACGTTGGTTGCAATTGCAGGACCGAATCAGAGCACACATCCATTCTTTGATTGTGTGACGTCCATCCTGCACCCGTGCTGTAGTGTGGAGTGTTTGGCGTGGGCCAGGTGCCATTTCAAAAGAAACATTGGCTTTGTGCAGACGCTTCGCTGGAGCGCTTCGGGAAGCATCTACAGCAGAAGAGGCAGGTTTAGTTGGCTTAATGCAATGAGTCAATGAGTCCTTTGGATTACGCGTTGCTTGCCTGAAGAGGTCAGGTTTTGTTGCTCATGTAGCAGTACACAAGTCCAGCACGTTGTTTTTGTTTCCTAGTGTGTTCTGAGTGGATTTGAGCTAATCAGCTATATAACTACCATTGATATTTGCATATCATTTGATTCAAGTGGTTGAACTGGGAAGGAGAACATTTTAGACTTGAGGTGAGCCAAAGATGGCATTAGGTATTGAACCGAACCTCACACCGGCGCAGCATTCATGGCTTCATGTCATGACAATCAAACTTACTTCGCCGTGCCAGTTTTTTCGGCTCACGATGGCTTCGCTGACGGATTTGGGGAAACATGGCATCTCCGAGGCCTCCTCGGTGCCCTCCGTGCCCGAGTCCGCCATCTCTCAGGCCTCCAAGGTGCAAATGAATCGTGCCCGAAGTCTTACCGGAAAACAGGCCCGGCAGTCCGTGCAAGTGAACCTTGGGCTGACAACTTGATGAAACGAGTTTCATTTGATTTTACTGAATTGTTGTTGTTATTATATACTATTTTTTAGACCCTTTGTTGAAGCCTTGGTACATGTTTTAACAAAGACAATTGTAGTGTGTATATATATATATATATGTTTTTTGCCCAAGGGGGTAGGCCAGTATAGCTCAAGTGAGTTTTGTTGACAGTTTTCCCCCATCGATTTGACTTAAATATCCAAGTCATAACCTGTTTAGACCGAGAGGCCGGCTCCATAATCGCTTCTGAGGACTGGGAACTTCATCCGGCAGATTTCACCCAGTGAAGAAGCAGCGAATAAAGATGCGTCCCCAAAGGAGAGGCTCCAAAACATCATGAAGAGCTACTCGGCTTTCCCAACTTGAACTGTTTACTCCTCGTAAGACGATCCATCCGTGGGGAAAGTATATATACAGTGCAAGGTTGTTGGCGTAGCAGTGTAGCGCAATTGTGCACTCCTTTTTTCTCCCCGCTCACAGTGCTGTGTGCATTCTATTGCATTGCAAGCCCACCCCCTGCTCATGAACCCTCGCCCATGTGTGTTGTTTTGACAACACTCTGAAGATATATTGAGCCAGGAATGCTATAGTTGAAAATGCAGTTGCTTTTTCACGTTAGCATTGCAGCACTGTCCTACTGGAAAACTATATCTATCTATCAAAAATATATATGTATTATATATATATATAACTAATATGTATAGCTAACAGCTAGCAAACGCAAATAACACTGTTTGGAAGGAATCTGGGAGATTCAACGCAGGCTCCATATTTCGTTACCGAATCGCAGGAGGCTCAGGATTCAGGACCTTCAATCGGTGCGTTTTTCTTGAAGGCTCTATCAAGTTTTATAGTTTTGCTGATGAAATTCCTTTCGGTAAAAGGCTGCAAGGTTGATTCAGCTCCAACAATACCACACTTTAGTGGGGTTGCCTCGCGGTTGTGCGTGTGTGACTCACTGAATATTTGTTTGGGACATTCTTTGAGGCTACTGGTTGACAAATTTCATGGCAGTTGTGGTTCTCTTTGATGCCTACTGCACCTGTGTGGCCATTGATCACAGGGCTGCTCAGTTGAGCACACCAGACTTCTACAAGGTCAGCTCCGACGCGTGCTTGGTCCTCTACACAGTAGAGTTGATCTTGATGCTTTACAACAGTGGAGGGTTTGCCTCAGTGAAGGATTGGATGACGATGATGGATGCCGTGATCGTGATTTGTGGCTGGTTGGAGTTCATTTTCGACGCCTTAAACATCTCTGAGTTTGAGATCGGCTTCCGCATCAAGGTCACCCGAGTGCTCCGCCTGGTGCGAATCTTCCGACTCATCCGCCTACTCAAACGGATCCGGACCTTGAAGGAACTGCACAAGTTGGCCACGATGATGGCCACGTGTATGCGAACCTTGCTATGGTGTTTTCTACTTTGCTTCTTCATCATGACTGCTTGGGCAATGCTGATGGCAGCTTGTTCTTTTTTCATGTGTGTTGTGCTTTCCCACATTATCCACATTATTGCCCTCATCAAGCGAAACCTGAAACAAAAAAACACGATTCAAGTACGCCGTGCGTCCCAGATCAAGTCAGGTAGAGGTAGTGAACCCAATAGTTCAAGACATGGAGCAAGCCTCCAGTGAAGTCTTTGCCGGCTGTGAATTTTGCGTCGGAGACTTGGATGCATTGGAATATAAATAAATATATTATACAGATGGCGATGGAAAGAGAGAGAGAGAGTGAGATGTATATATATATATACAAAAGCATATTGGAGAGAGAGAGGTTTTTATGAGAAGAAGGCTGTGACGTTTGGCATGGTTTGGGACCCGAAGATTCTCTTGGAGGGGGCAGGAGGGGCAGGTATATTGTGTGCTTCTCCACTTGGACGACCTTGCTTTTCGCATAAGTGCTGTTTGCTCATCTTTGCTTCTTGCATGTTTGCAATGGAATTTGTTCTTCATTCTTGTGTTGCCAAATGACTACTTCGTGATGTTTCAACAAAGGAGCAAAATATGGAGTAAAGGTGCCGCAACGTAGTATTGAAGAAATCGATCGTGAGAGATAGAAAGAGCTTCATGAAGAGGTAGTGAGGATGTGGCAAGAGCAAATCCGCACATGAAGCAGAAACATCTACAATACACAGTAGACTAGAAGGTCCACAACACCAAGTCTAAGTGATAGTCGCACAACTGTGTAGATCCCGGCTGCTTGTAACATTTTTAGCCCCGGGTTTCGCTAACTCATGAGCTCTCTTATTTTCAACGCTTTTTGGGCGGGGCTCCCCCTCCTCCAGCTGTTTCAGAGCGAATGGCTCAAGGCTCCTTGTGTGGGTATACCATGCAAACCCATCCCCGAACCTGTATTTTTCGCCATCCCGGCCACATTCCGCCCTCCTGATTTTCCTAGATCAGATGTATTGAAGAGGTAGCAGGGTCCAGCAATACCAAGTCTGAAATAAGATCTACATATATAGATCTACTGTAATTCTTATTGCATGCTCACGGTGCAAAGGAGCAACCTCAACTGTGATGGACGCGAACCTGCTACTGTTCAAGACGGTTATTGCAGGTGATAGCTGGGGTGAGCTGGCCGTGCCCGTCATTCAGAAGCACCCTGCAACGGCAATCATTTTTGTAGGTTCTCAGCTTACTCTGGTGTTTGGCGTGGTAAATCTCATTGTCGCTGTTGCAACTTGGCTTCATGAAGGCCGCGCTGTTTTTTCTCAACGTTCCCATTAGAGTGTTCGGATGTGTATCGGATTGTATGGGCACGCATGCACCACTAGGACGAAAGTTCTTCTTCTTGACGGTTCTAAAAAAAGCACCTTTCCCCGTAGAATCCTGCACGTCATTGCTTTCACTTAGCACGGTCGAGTTTCCTTCCTCCAAAGCAATCCAAAGCCTTTTACTGTATATTTATGATAATTGAACATCCCACATTGGCCACGTGAAATAGACTTCTTAATTCGACCGCGGCTAATCCACACAGATGTGGTAAGACGCGGTAAGACGAGACAACTTTATTCCTCCTGAAGTATGGAGGTATAAAGACTAACATTTGTTTGGGTAAAGGAAGTGGTTGCAGCGCAGACTGTGATATTTGGTGGCATGTGCATGTGTCGATGCGGGGGTGAGTTGTAGGCCAGGGATGTTGGCTGTGAATGAAAGTCAGTCCCCGTGGCTACAATACGTTAAAAATGAGGTGCGATGTCCCAAAAGCAGGGATGATTCTACAGAGAAACCATTTGTGCGCTGTGCGCACACGAATCGGACAAGTCAGATCTCGCGGAAAAGGCAGGCTAAGTCAAGAAGCTGTGCATGACACTGCTGACCGGCTTGATGGCTTGCGGGTGGACAGCCAAACATGCATCAAGACGCATTGGCCCAAAGCTAAAGACTCAACAACAGCACCAAACAAAAACTGAAAAGCCTCCAACAAAGGCCACCCAGGTCCGAGCAAAACAATCCACCAGCATGTATGGAAGACTGGTCGGTCCATGTGTCTCCCCTCGTCGAACAACACAAACAGGCATAGTGGCAAAACCAACAGTGAAAAACCAAAGAACAATTCTAAGAAGGAAACAGTGGCCTATCAGTGGACTTGTGAGAAGCTTCACCCTCTAATCTCGCAAGCCATGACACCATTGCATAAATGTACTTCCTAGAAGGCTCGTTTTCCCACACAGTGAGCAACAAAATGGACAGGATCTTCAAATAAATCACCAGAGTGCGGCTCACAAATTCAGAAACGCATCATTTAGAGCGGCCCTCTCAGCAGCCCGGAGCGCAAGCTGAAGAAGAAAGCTGCAGCAGCGGCCAGCCCAATGGGTGGGCCATGCAGCTGCCTAGTGACCTAGTGCAAACGCTCATGCGTGGACCGACCTACAGTAAATGCTGCTGATCCCGCCGTGAGCCGTGTTTTCTTTGGGTGAAATCCTGCCAATTTTGACTCAGTGCCTAAGTCAGCGGGGTTGACATGTTCGTCTCTCTCTCACCTGCTAAACAAAGGAGCACCACAAAGCTTTGTGTTCGAATGCGTCCTCCTCCCCACAGTGTGAACAAAGACAAGTCACTGAGCGAATTTGAACTTGAAGGTGTTCAAAATCATCCATGCAAACGGATCTCGGCCGAGCTTGCAGACAGGTGAGCTGAAAATTGTCAGAACTTGCGGAAGTGAAACACTTTTTTGACCGCAAAAGTTTGAAACAAACTCTAGGCGCGGAAAAACACTATCCAAATGTGTTTTGAATCTGAAGCAAACCTCAAAGCGAACCTTCCGAACACCCCAAAAAGTCAAACAAGTGGGAAAATGAGCAGTTGCAAGAAGCATCAGCTTGAAAAGACCACTCAAACGCATGGCCCCTTACAGGCACTTCCACCTTTTCTTGCGCAATTCTGCGGGCATCGGTATGATCATTGAGAGCAGTTCGTTGTGACACGCGGTAACTCTTGGCCGTTTGTTGAGATTTGCGGAAGTATTGCCAACATTCGGGTCAAGGCCGAAGGCTTTACCAGGATAGAGTTCGGATCGTGTTGTTGGCTCAGATGTTCCAACAAACATTGCAAGATATTGCGAGGACCATCAATTCTATTGATGTTTGTTTGATTCGTGTTGCGTTTGGCTTCAATGAGTCTCAATCACGATCGCACTGACCTCATGATGCAAGGTAGTTGACACTTTCGCAGAGGCTCGAGTCGCCAGCCTGCATTGAACGAAACAACTAGACATTTTACGACATTTTTGACTTGTTTTTTTCGCCAACAGTTTGGAGGTAAAACATGTTCGGCTGTAAGAGATGTCTGGGGGGTTGTTGTGGTGGCTGCATGTGTCTGAGGAAAATGATGTGCAGAACCTGGCTGAAGAGATGGAAGCAGAGATCCAACAGGACAGCAAGCTCTTGAGCAAGATCTTTCAAAGGATCGATAAAGGGGGCACGGGAGAGCTTTCGCTGGAAGACCTCATTGAAGGGGCTCGTAGTGATCCAGTATTTCAGAGCCGACTTCGTGTCATGGACATTGATGAGAGCCTCAACTGCATGACGATTTAAATATGACAAACACATGAAAAAACAATTGTGTGCTTTTGTCTGTAGGTGGCCCTAGACTACGCTCCTCGCGTATAGGGTTTTGTGACAGAGCTGTGGCAGGCGCTGTTTTCATTTCCACCTGAACGGCCAAGGAATGATTTGCAACAGCTCTTTCAGATGATTGATGTTGATCAATCAGGTACAATAGAGGTGTCTGAATTCATTGGCCCACTTAGTCGCTGGGCACATGACTCCAAGACGGCACCTCGTTTCATCAAGTACAACATGCTGCAGACTATGCATTTGCAGGAAGACCTTTACGATCTCTCAGTGGACTGTTTCAACCAGCTTGCTTCCAGGATTGATGACTTGTCCTTTGACATGCAGCTCTATAAGAAGGGTTCGGCGCTGGCCTCTGACGAAGACTTCCCGCAACATGCCGATTTACAAACAGATGAGGGACAAACCATAGCAGATAAGGAGGGTCAGGATTTGCAGGAAACCAAAAAACATGAGGAGTTGGCTCCGGTAGATGAAGCTGGATCCATGTCAGGGAGTTCTTCCGCTTCAGGCAGTGTGGCTTCTGCAGATCCAAACTTTACGGGGATCATTGACATCGATCAGCCAAGGGCCACTAAAGATGCGCAGATGCTGGTGCCGAAGACTAACATGACTAGCGGAGTGGCATCGGTGGAGCTGATTGATGTGGCCATGGAGAAACTGGAAGCCAAAATGGATCAGTTCCTCAAGCAGATGGCCACAATAAAGCCCCCCAAGAGGAAAGCATACACGCCCTTGATCATGTCACCCAGGGCCTCCGAAAAGAACACCCAATTTTCGCCTCGACGCCGGAAACCACCTAGAACAGATGCCTTCAGATCAATGCAACTCAATTGAATTAGGTCTTCTTTGTGAAACCAATGTTGCGCAGACATCCGAGAGCACAAAAGCAACGAGCATGAATGAATTGTATATGTTGAACAGTTGTTTTCTCTTTTTTTTCTGAAAGACCGACATGTTGATCCAAGGTATGTAGACCGACATCGTTCAGGGACGGCCACTGCAAGTACCACCCTTAAGGGGCGGAACTCACGCGGCGGTTCGTATGATATGTTTCCGGACCTGAACAGTCAATTGACTGGTCGGTTCAACCTTGGTCGCCGGCCTTCTAAGATGAAGCTTTGTGATTTCTCGTTGTGTCGTTTCAGGAGGTTGGAGTTATAAAATCACAGTCCAGTCTGAGATTCAAACTCTTGGGGAAGATAGCTATTTGCTTTCCGGGTCACCGCGGCGGGTCCCTGCAACATGACCATGTGGGAATCGGCACTTTGTTTGCTGCTACCATTTTTTCCGAGCTTCATGCCATAGCTTTGCATGCCGCTTTTGTTCTGAATCATCCTATCTTAGGTCGCGAGGATGCTGATGACTCGCGGGCCATATCGAAAGGTTCTCGTGGTATCAGGAGCGTGACCGGTCCCTCATCCCAGAATTGACTGTTCCCTTGTTTTTTTTCTTTTGAGACCGACCAAATTATTACAGAGACGGACTTTTCTGTGAATTTCTGATTGCTGTATTGTTGCAGATGGGTGTCCTTTCCTGATTCGACTTGAGGTTCAATGGGCTCATGGTTCTAACACAGGTTATAGATGCTCATCCCGAACAGTATGAAACCTGAGGCCTTGACACACCCACACCTTGCTTTAGACTTATTGACCTTTCTGTACAGATTGCAGCTGCACTGCACAGATGCATCGCGTTTTCCTCACAAATTCAAATACCATGTCCTGGCTGAAGAGTTTGATGCAGTTTTAGGCTTTGTTCAGACATGATGTGATTCGGGAGAGCTTTGGCCAGACAGCACACACAGATTTTTGATGATTTTTGATTAGACTTTGACTGCCGACCAGCGCACCTTCACCTTCAGAAGGGGAAGCACTCATCAGACACCGAATATACTTCAAAAGCTTCATATACTCTTTGTTGGTTCCTCATCCTCTACATAGATTTAGAGGGTGGCATGTATCAATTGCCAGCGCAGTCGCAGAAGTTCTGGAATTTCGCCGCCCACATTGCCCCTTGCGCCTGTGGCCGCCTGTGGCATTTGGTTGGGTGATATGTCCGCGTTTCCTGTTCGTTCAATGTCCTTTCACTATTCTTCACTGTGATCCTGACGGGCGTTCGGCAGCAAAACAATGAGAAGCCACCGCCGCCATCACAGAGTTTGTTTCAAATAAGCATACAAGGGAAAAAACTGGAAAAAGCCATGCCCGTGCGAGGCACTGGCAGATTTGGAGGCTTTGAGCTCCTTCGGTGGGCTTTTGCTGTCGAAACGCTTGGAAGAGATCATTTCCGTGCCTGGGATAGAGCGTGTGAGTGAACGTGTGAGTATCTGGATTGTAAAGATTTTGGAAAGCGACATCGCTTTGCAGAACAAGCTATAGCACCTCATTTGCCTTTAGTCTGGAGTCTTTTACCGCTGCAGCTTAGGTTGAGTCCCGCTGCATTTTGGTCAACGGACAGGTTGCGGCTGATCAAGCACTTCCAGTGGTCGCTGAGCCCCTTGAGCTCAACTAGACTCGACTTTATTTTTGCTTTCACAGTGCACCGGTTGAGGCCTTAACTAGACATTCTCTTCGCTAGACAATCTCTAACTATATAATATATATAATGCTGAGGATTCTGAGCTCTCTTCTTCACCTCCGACAGCGCGTGTCAGACACTGCTGGCACGGCATGCCTCGATGCTGTGTCTCTTGGAGTAGACCAACCTGCCGGGGGCTGTGGCATGCCCAGCTGACAATTGAAGGGGACAACTGAATAGGAAAATTCAGGAGGAGCCAAGTGGAATGGATAGCATATCAAACGAGGTGAACATTAAACCAGGAGGAGAGAAAAGGACATTTAAAACAACGCATACGCATGAATATGCAAACACGCAGCTGCACTGACCTGCTCAAGTTATTCTTCCTTGTGTTGCCAAAACCAGGTTGGCGTAAACACCTGGTGTGGTGCAAATCTTGCTAAAGACAGCAACATGATTGAACATGTGACGTGATATTCCCACTTTTCGTGGCAGGCGCAGGGAATCGCGAGGTTGTGATATTTGGTGGGGCGGAATGCCGCTGTGACATTGGGATTGGTGTGTCAGCGGTTGTGGTATTGAGCGGCTGGGGTTGTTGAAGCTGCTTGGCAGGTCTAGAAGGAAGTCTCGTACGGAACGCTCGTTTGGAGACTTTGATGCGCGACTTTTGGAGGAAGTCTCGTGCGGAAAGCTAGTTTTGCAGACTTGACGAATGAGAAGGAAACGCTCGTTTTGCAGACTTGAAGTGTGAGTTTTGGAGGAAGTCTCGTAAGAATGCTCATTTTGCAGACTTTATGTGTGACTTTTGGAGGAAGTTTGGAGCGAAGCGCTTGTTTTGCAGACTTGACGCGCGACTTTTGGAGGAAGCAAGAGTGCACTACAAGAGTGTCCCACAAGAGTGTCCCACGAGAGTGTCCCACGAGAGTGTCCCACAAAGAGTGTCCCGCAAGAGTGTCGTACGAAATTCCCCCACAAGAGTGCCGCACAAGAAAGAGTGTCAGCGTGCCCAACGAGAGCTACGCACAAGAGTGCCCCGCAAGAGTGCCCCGCAAGAGTGCCCCACAAGAGTGTCCCAGAGTTTTCCGCAAGAATGCTCCACAAGAGTGGCAGAAAAGAGTGTTCCACAAGAGTGTGGTACAAGAGTGTCCTAGAGCTGGCAGCTTTGTAGGCCTCAGAATTGCAATGCAAATGTAGTGCGGGATGTGGCCAAATTACGTCTGTGATGTGGCTATGCCATGCGATTTTGCGCGGCCTCGGTGGAAGTCCGTTTGCGTGAGTCCGTGCCATTGGGAGAAGGAAAACGTGCTGGTGTAAATTTGGCGTGTCGCTGGGGAGCGGGTTGGTTGGCAGTGTCCCCGGGGCTGCGGCTTGACGTTACACTATCTAGCGTGTGGCACGCCACAAGAAGAGTGTCGCACAAGAGTAGCCCACAAGAGCTTTCCACAAGAGTGAGTGTCCGATGTATAAAAGTAGCCAACAAGAGTGTCCTACAATTATGTTGTCCACTTACAGCCAAGTTCTAAGAATCATTGAAAAAGAAAAAGTGCAGAAAACAAGCAAAAAAAGAGCAAAACCAAAAAGCAGAAAGAAAAACTGTCTGGATAAGAAGTGCAGAAACAAAGCAGAAAAAAAGCAAACAAAAGTGCAAAAAAAAGCAAACAAAAAAGGGAAAAAAAAAGCAAACAAAAAAGGGAAAAAAAACAAACAAAAAAACAATTTTTCACCCACTTTTCCCCCACTTTTTTTGTGGCTCTGGAATTTGTTCTCCCACTTTTTCCCCACTTTTTTTGTGGCTCTGGAAATGCCAAAACTTTGCACTTTCCTCGAAAAAAAGAAAAACAAGTGCGAAAAAAATGCGAAAAAAGTGCAAAAAAAGTGCAAAAAAAGAGCAAAAAAAAGTGCAAAAACAAGTGCAAAAAAAAGTGCAAAAAAAGTGCAAAAAAGAAGCGTGCCCAATTTGCCTCCAAAAAAATGCTCTTTTTTGCTTTTTTGTTTGCTTTTTTTTTGCTCTTTTTTTGCTTTTCTTGAACGTTGCTATTTTGTGTTTGCTTTTCATGCACGCACTTTTTTTGCACTTTTTTTGTTTCCCATACTCCCATAGAAGTTGGCTAACTGGCCAACATAATCCTACAAGAGCGTCCCACAAGACCACGCCACGAAGGAGTCCCACCACAGGAGTGGCCCACAAGGGTGCCCCACAGGAGTGGCCCACAAGAGGCTTCCACAAGAGCATCCCACCAGAGCGTCCATGACAAGAGTGTCGCACGAGAGTGCCCAGGACAGTTTCCCACATGTGTTTTACAAGAGTGCCCCAAAAGAGTGTCAAACAATGCTTGGCCATTTGTTTTCGAGTGCATGTTTGCCTTGGGGCTCGTGGGTTCCATCTTGTTGTTTTCTCATGTGGCGGCTGTCACGGTTGTGTTCTTCAGTTTTTCAATTTGGCAACGTAGTATTAGCTCGGGCATGCCTGATGAAGGTGTCATACAAGAAGGTTCTCCACGATGGGTTCGCAAAAGATTTGCTGATGCTAATGAGAAAGATTCATCAAGTTTTCACGCGTACTTGTAGTGGTCATTGTTGGCGGACAGGAGTTTTGATCATCAATCGCTTATTGATTTGTTCATGTATTTCGTGATGAGTTGATGGGCGGAATTGGATGCTTTCAAAACAAAGTAATGGTAACAAAAAAGAATACCGCACCACACCAGAAAGGGTTTCGAATCCAACCAACATGGTAACATGGACTGATGAAAATTGCATAAATTTGACAATGAACCCCACCACATCCTTATGGCTAATGACGTTCAACAGTTCTAGAAATTTGGTTCCAATTCCCGTATTTATTTGCATGTTGTTTGATTTCGTGTTGAGTAGCAAGGAGTGTGGGCTACAACATACTGCCGAACATGTTGGAATGCCGCCAGTCCGCAAACGGATCAACTTGCGACAATTGGTTCTTACTTGTGTATCTTGTGTGAGCGCATGGCTTTCAACATGGCCCGGAGCATATTTTTAATGCTTTCTTGCTAGCATGTTCTTCAAACTCGCCCAGCATTCCATTTCTAGAGACACTGGAAGTCGCAAAGTAAATTTGGACCACATGTGAACCAGCAGCACCAAGTATCACAGGAGAAATCATCAAGACAACCCGTGACCGGATAGAGGAGACTGGTTGTTCCACTGACTCCCAAGGCATCATGGTCGGTGTCACTCAGTGTTGGCAGTGTGACTGGAAAGCTTTGAGCCCTCAATTGCAGCCGATCCGTGACCTTGCGCTGTTGGCGGCAATATGTTGAAGGGTTGCTGGAGCAGATGTTGGGTGGAAGGAGGTAACAAGTATTATAAAATAAGTATAATTAAGTATATATAAACTTCATTGCAAAATATCCGCATCGATTTCCCAGAAGCCTGTAATCGATTTCCATTGTACTCAACGGCAGCATCATGACTGCCAACATCGTGGGCCATCCACACGCACTTTCAACAAAGCTGTTAGAATTTGCCAACCCCACACCATTACGCATTGACATGGTGACCAGTGGGATGAATTCTTATATAAATTCGTCCGACGTGAAATATGTGAAATGGTTTTTCCACAATCTAGCAGGTAGCACAACAGCAGCTAGCCCTGTTCCTGTCCTTATTGAACCTAGCGCCCTGCCCAGGTCTTGAGGCGGCCAATGCTGGATCAGGCTGCCTTTTGCTTGCTTCGCTTAGTTTGGCAACGGGCGCCCTCCTTGCTGCTGGACGATCGGCCAGCTGATGTAACACCTCAGTGTGCCTACGCCTTGGCGCTCCTTGACACGAAGGGCCCAAAATCTCCGTGTGCATTCCCCTGACACCTCCGGGTTGTGAGTCTAGTATATCAGTATATCACAATAGGGCTATGATGGGCTATGCCATTGGCTGATAGGACAGGCCAAACACGAGTGTGTCCGAATCGGTCACAAGACAGAGAGAGAGAGATGAAAGATGTTATCCTTACAATTGATAAGACCCCTTCCACCCCCACGCCATTCCAAGCCCTTTGGGCTGCGTTCTTACTAAGGTCGCTTTCGCAAGAGATTCATGATGCCTTGGTGTCACACCGCTTGGCCTGTGCACACAATGCTGAGCTTATTCTAATGACAGACCTCCGCCGAGTAGTTTTGGACTTTCTGGGCCAAGTGGGAAATCGGCAAGCCCAGTCCGAGAAACCCCGTGCAGCGCCGGCCCCAGCAACGCCTCCGCGCAAGAAGAAGAGAGAGCTGGAAGAGATGGAGTCTGAACCACGACCGAGCCGATCAAAGATCTCCCATGAACCCAATATGGCAAAGGACACGGCTTCACCTGCCAGCATCCCTAACACGCCTGAGCAAGGCTTCGAGCTCAAAGAGAGAACCTTGGAGGAAGCAACAGAGCAAGTGTGGAAAGTCAAGCCAGTCGATGCAGTTGATACATTGGTGGATATGCTTGTGAAAGACTACGGTTCTTTGGAACTTGCAACATCTCTTGCAGATCGCGTCGCACATTTGAGCGTTGTACAACGTTTGCTTTTCTTCTTATCCCGCTTGTATTAAGAGATATTAAAATCCCACAAATCCACACAAACCCACCACGGGTTTCAGGAGGAGGAGATGACAGATGGTTTTTCTCCACTGGCTCCAATAATGACCCTAATTACCACCTTTACCTGCCATGAAGGCCTCTTATTCAATCGGATATCAAGCTGACTCTATTGAAAGGTTGAGGGAACCCAAGAACCGAGGCTGAGAGAGCCATTGACACGATGGCGTGGGCCGTCTCCAAGTCCTTGACGCCGGAGGCTAGTGAAGCCAAGGAGGCGGTTGAGGCAATGCAAGAGGTCGCTGACTTTATGAAGCAGCTTGGGCGATGTTTGGTATTGGTCAACTGGGTCAAGGCAGCTTTACGAGGTTTCCATGTTGCCTTTGTAGACGCCGAGAGCAACCACGGCCGCCATTCCAGCCTGCCGGTCCTTTTCTAGGGGCCACGCCGTGCAAAATCCGACATCGGATGAAGGGGGTGAGTCAAAGTCGATTTCAGGTCCGCTGCTGCTCCATTTTCTCAATCTCAAGACCCCAGCGAGTGTTTTTCCTTTCGATAGGTGAGCTTGAATCGATACTATATATTATATATTGTAATAATATACTGCACGGTATATTTAATTATTCCAATATGAAACACCTCATGCGTGCGGTTGTGTGTGTATAATACATATATTACATATATAGTGTCTCTCCGTTTTCACCTGACAGCCTGAGGTATTTGCAGATGCTCCTGGAGATGGACTGCCAGTGCCAGTCGGCCGTTGCTTGGCAGATGCCTCGCTTTGTGAAGCGCCTCACGGACAGCGGGCCATGGGAAAGTTCCTGGAGGCATGGCCTCTCTAAGGTGCCTCGAACGAGAAATAGGTAAGAAGTATCTCTAGATGTCTCATTTTTGGTGTATGTCATCATTGTCATCCTGAACTTTGTTTGGGATTTGTCCGTTTTTGCATAGCAAAGCTACCACCACCACCCTTTGCTCGGGGGCACTCATGGACGAATTTACAGAGGAAACTCGGAAAGCAAACGAAGATCATGATCAGTTTGGACATTCTTGGAGCCGGGATGTGCATGCGTATTGGTTGCTGTTGGTCTTCAACCTTCCCTTGCCCCAAGTCGAACTCGGTGGGGTTGCATTCTTGTGAGGTGCTTGAATTGGTGATCCACCCGACCATGGCCCAGCATTCAGCCACGGCCCTTTGGGCACAGGCAGGCGAGATATGCTATGAAGGCTCTAATGCTTGATTTTGCGATGGACGTCATTCTCCACAATTTACCGGACAAAAAATCGTCAGATTCGCTTGAGACAAAAAAGGTTGTCATGTTCAAAATAAGACACTCAGACTTCAACTACAAGAGAGGAGCTGCCGTGTTTGCAAGAATTGTCAAGCATTTGTGACCTGCAGGAGTGAGCTGATGTGAGCTGCTTTTGTCCATCTACAGTAGTGGGCTGTTTTTTGTGTACTAATGATTTGTGACTTTTTATCCAGGTCTAGGAGAATTCAATCCTTTCAACTTTCCACACACACACACACTCAAAGAAAAACCAAGAAGCGAAGCAACGTAATTATAACGTGCTCAACCAGGTGGTTGGTGATTGCTCCAGAAAGTCATGCCCCAAGCGGATGATGGCGGTGGGAGCTTTGGCCAGGGAGCTAGACTTGATTCTGGGAGACTCAGACCAGGCAAGAAACCTTCTTTGGCGCTGTCGCAGCTTTGGTGGGAGATGTATTTCGGAAACGTCGTGTTGTGATCAAGTTGCAGCCCTGAGATATGAAAGCTGCAGGACACAACCAAGTTGCAGGCCTGCATGCAACAGCTCTGCAAATCCGCCAATGACTGCCTGAAACATGCTGGAAGTGATGACGAGGAAGCAAAGCCTTCAGGCAGTCATGCCAGGCAGGGATCAGGGACCACGGCGAATGATGACAAGGTATTTACGGTATGTGTATATAGTATGTATATATAATATATATATATATACGTTTCACGATCACAGTATAGTTTTGTTGTGATAGGGTGGGCCAAACGTTGTCCAAACCTTTCGAGCCACCGGTGTTGGCATTGCCCCTAAATGGCTCGAACTCCCCCCAATAAATTTGTTGATATTTGTTGTGAGCCCACCAGCCTTAATGCATATTCTATGGGTTCATCGATGTTCATGGTGAGCTCCATTTCGACCAGTCTCCTAGGTGTGATAGCGAGAGCGAGGAGATTCCAAGCGAGGACACCTTATCGCCATTGTCAGAAGAAGATGAGGATTCTAGGCCATATAGCCTAGCTTTGAACGTGTGGTGGCCTGGTTTGCTGGTTGTTTACTGCATGACTTACAATCTTGCAATGGCCTAAACGCCGACTCAGGATTTTGGCGATTGGGAGGACACACGGCCAGAGTCAAATACTCTTGGCTTTCTGAAAATGGATGGGCAGCTACTTGGCAAGAAGGTTTGGTGCATCATGCTCCCGTTTCGCCCGCCTTCACGCAAACTTCGATGTTTACTTTTGTTCCTTCATTGGCTTGTCCCAGCCATTAGCTTAGCACTCTAAGGGCTCTAAAGGCCCGTAGAACGCAACCAGAATGGTTGCTGTGGTCATTCCAGATGGGTGGACTAGCGCAAGGACAGGAGAGACACGCTGCAGAGTGAGAGAGTGAGAAAGAGAGGAGCATTTATATCACCATATTTAACCTATATAATAGCGATGGCCTCCAACCTAATAGATCCTAATAGTATGTAGAGAGATGCATTTTGCCTGCTGTGTGCTGAGAAGTGACGCACCACATCTCAGGAAATTCTATTGCGCTTCCGACACGTGCCCCACAGAATTTCAGCGTCACATATCGAACCTGAAGAACGATTGGAAGGACAGCTATCGATTTTTATATAAACAACCTTAGCTGTTTTCCCCTTCACCCTGGCTCAAAGGGAAGATTTGTTGACTTTGAATCGAATGTTATTTAATTATGCGCATTCGGGGGAGCAGCAACACTATTTGGGAATTGCAAAGGACATGAGTTTCGGCACAGTGGACTCATCCTGCAGGCAAATACTGCTCGAATGGAAAAAACATAAAGAGACTGGCATAGCAAGCGAGAGGCAAATTCGCGACCACTTTACCCATGCTCAAACTGCTTGTCAGGAACGCCTGCAGAAGCTGTTTGACACGCTGCCAGATGATGAGGCCTTGCCCACGGATGCCGAAAAGAAGATGGTCGCTGAAGAGGATATGCCGAAAGGACCCTCAGCTGTTTTGGAAGAAGGAAACTATGATACGCAACTACTGGGTTCTCAACGTTGCTCGCTGCTGCTGTAGCTTTTTTTGGGTGTCAAGTCTTTTCGCTCAATTTGTCTCGAGGAAGCTCATGGAGGAGTTGAAGGGGAAGCTCCAAATCTGGAGATTTTCAGCTTGAAATCTAGACATGGCTTTGTCGAAGGCTTCAGCCCTCCCGGCCCACAAATTCGCTCAGAGTAGGCCTTGTTTGCGCTTGAATTCCTGTTTTGCGAGATCATGAGATCTGGTAATCAGCCAAGTCCAACAATGGAAGAAAGATAATGGAAGCATGCTATTGTTTCTATTGTTCGTGATGTGGGGTAAACATGAGCTGAGGCTGAGCAACAACGACTGCTCACAAGTGAGTTGCCCAAGTGAGGTGGAATCGATAGGTCAATGCAAGATGAACCCAGCGCAAAGTGACAGACGAAGAAAGCTTGAGCTCCCTCTCCGGTCCATGTTTGTGAGGTCATGCCTTATTTTTAGCCAGTGGCCCTGCCTCCTTACTTAATTAAGTAGGTGCCTACTGAATTATATAAGTACACAAAGGAAGAAGTGACCTACTAGAAGACGTTCGCTCCTAGCTAGGATGCAGGATAGCTTACGCTTCTTCAAGGAAGCTCCCCCAGCCTGAGGCGGGGTGGAGCTTCCTTGAAGAGAAAGGAACACTTAATGTTTTGAGCTCTTGGATTCGTTGTTGTATGGCGGTGTGTGATTTGCATGGGGTTGCATGGTGCAGGTGGAAGGAACCGGCTGAAGGGCCACAAGTTGGGACAGTTTCCACGTTTCCTCTCACCTATTTGAGGCCTCGCATCCCAGGAAACTTTGCTCCAGCTCGCTTTGACCTCAGGGTTCCCGGTTAGATGGGTTGCTGGCAGTGAGGGTTGGCCGCTTGTTTCACCATTGGGCAGCCCTTCAGCTAAAGAGCCATTGGCGTTCTTCTCTTACAAGTTGTTCGTGACTGTGAGCTGTGTGCTGTATTGCCCTATATAATGTGGTTCCATGTCCTTCCACGTCCTTGTGCATCAAGATGCCCAGGTGGTACTAGATGACACCGATCCTGAGGTTTTTGAGGTGCGTGTGGCTACCAGTATCACTGCAAATGATGTATCGATGTTCATCGTTTGTAGAAGGACCGTTTTACAGGCAATGTGCCCCTTGCACCCAAGGAGTTTGTGCATATGCTTACAGTACCATGCACAATTCAGCTGTTGCACCAGAAGTCCACAGAGAAGTGCAACTGCCTTGACCAATGCCAGGTATCACAGACAGGGATTTCGCTGTGGATTGGCCTGGGAGAGGCATGTCTTTCTTGAATCTTCGAACGTTGGTACTACACCGACTATAGGGCACTTTGTTCTTTGCAGGCATAGTCTTTTGACACTTTAGGTGTTTGGCGTTTGTGATATTATGTAGTTTGCCAGATTCAGCCATGCGCTTGAGCATATTTTAGCTCAAGCTGGTCTCACGATTTGGCCGGACGCAGATTTCCCATGTCCGAAGTGAAAACTCCAGCGGACTCTCAGGATGCGCTAGGTTGCGTGTCGTGCGTGAAACGCTTAGGGCCTGCGCTTTGGCAAGCAGCGCTGGTCCACTTGGAGGTGCTTGAAGCTATGCTGCCAAAAGAGCCGACCAAGAGCCTGCCAGATCCATGCCATGATCGCCACCTTCAGAGACATTGGAGGAAGCTCCAGAAAAACAACAAGATTTTCAAGGATGCCCGGCCCCTAGGAAAGAGGCGACTCGCCTGGTGGCAGTGAGACCACGGAGAATTGAAGACGGCAAGGACAACATTATGAGCAGATCTTAGTGCGGTGGAGAGATTCAGTTTAATAGATACCAGCATGCAGGGGGAGACAGGGTCTTTCTTGATCAGTAGGATGTGCCAGCTTCCAAGCTTCTGGAAGTTGGTTGTGGTGCCTGACTAAAGCACACCTTTGAATGTACAGTGTGCAGACATACTGATCTTCAAGCCACTCGAACCTGCCAGAGCAAAAGATCAGCGTGAGATGCAGGGTACATGCTGTGACAGCGACAGCCTGGCGACAGCGCCAAGGCCAAGAACACCCCACATCATGTATCCAAGAACGGTTTAGTAACAAGAAGCTACTAGTAACAAGTGCATCGCTACTAGTAACAAGTGCATCGCTACTAGTAACAAGTGCCTTACTAGTAGTAACAAGAAGCTATTAGAAACAAGTGCATCGTAGCTAGGAGCGAACAAGCTCGTCTAAGTCAGAGGTTGAACCGTGGAAGCCGATGCCAGTGGGTTGAAGCCTCGTTCCCGTTCGCGCACGAAAGAGAGCAGGTCCTTCCTCAACCAGGAGCTTTGGTGGTCACAGCTGGCAATTCTGTAGGCGGGTTCCAGCAGTTGTGAAGAGCCTCGTTGACAATCGACAATTCCCAGAAAGAATCCAAAAGACTAGACTATAGTGTATTTTCACTCCATGTAATATGTACATTTTGTACCTTGCACATAGTAGGATGTCACGCAGACTTACCTTCGCAGCTCGCGGCCCAAAACAGGAGTTGCAGCTTAACGGCTGTTTCTATAGGTTATCAGCCGTAGTGCTCTAACCACAGCCATGGACGCTCTTGCTATTCCTGGGAACGGCACATCATCGGTAGCAATCCCAGCCGGTCTCATGACTGAGCCCACGGTGGATCTAGATGACCCCATGGGTTCAGCTCCTGTCACAGCTTACTTTCAGTTCGTTCAGCAAAACATCCAACAAGTGTACAATGGAAACGAAGATGCTATTATTGCTCAGGCAGAGAGAAGGCACAAAGAGATAATGGGACAATGGTTGGAAATGGTAAAAACCAAGTTTCGTCAAGCAATCGATGAAGTAGCGAGCAAGCATCATGATGAACTCAGTTCGGTAAGGCAACAAGCTCAATCTAGCTACAACCAAGTGCAAGGGGAACTAAGTGCCGCGAAAGCACGAATCCTTAAGCTAGAGAGTGAAAGGTCCATTGAAGCTGAAGCCAGAAAAGCAGAACTGGACTCCTTGCGCATTCAGCTCATGCACGATTGTCAGCAAACTGTCACTGCCATCACCAGCGGTGCCGAGCAAGGTGTGGCAACGCTTCGTGCAGAGTTCGATGAGCGGGAAACTCAGCTTCGACGTGAGCTACGCGACGCAGAAAATGAAAACTATAGCCTGCAGCAAATGCTCGATGACCTTAAAGCCAAAATGCATGCTGGACCCGAGCTAGAGTACCATCCAACAAGTGTCATGAACACACCAGTGTCTACTCCTAGGCATGATGACACAAAGAGGAAAAATCCTCTGGAGACCATTGCAGCAGAGGCTACTGCACGTTTGAGTGGGCTGTTCGCACCCAAAGCGCCGACGGCCACCATCATCGGTGATGCCCCACCAGGGGCAGCTGCTCCTATCAAGCCCGTGCTTCCAGTTTACGGAGGCACAGCAGCGGATGGGGGCAAAACACCGACAAATTTGTTCCATAGCCCTGCACCTTCAATTCGCGAACCCCATAAGCCAGCGTCATCAGGTGCTATCACCTCTGAGCAGGTGATTGAATTGGTCAAGTCACTCACTCAGAGAGAATCAGATGAGAAGCCAAAGGTAAAGGAGGCAGATCATATCAAGTTGAATGACATGCCAACCCCTGAAACCTATAGGCAGTGGAAACATCATGTGAGAGACGAAATCAAGTCATGTTCTGACAAACCAGATGCTGCCTGGGACTGGTTAATGGAGGTTTACAACACTGTTGATGAGAGGAAAGTTCTGGAAGAGCGGTTGTCTAACCCTGGGAAGTTCACAACGTTGGATACCAAGTTGGCAGCTGCACTGACCAGAAGCGCAAAGGGTGATCTAGCAAACCGAATCATCAATTACAAAGAAGAGAAGGCAAAGCTAGGCATCCAGGTTCGAGGAAGGATGATTCTTCTCATGTTCGATGACTATTTCAAGACCTCGGAAGAAGCGGGTAGCCTCTACAGGGTTGAAGATCTCCTCAATGTGGTAAAGGTAGGCGATACTGTAGCGGACTTGAAGCGTTTCATCAACCGCTGGGACGCTACCATCGCTGGTATGCCCGAACCACCGCATGAAAACGTGCTTCGAGACATCCTTTTAAGGCAGATCCGCACTAGCACAATCCTGAGGTACGACATTGATCTCTTCGATCGCGCAAAAGAAGGTGACCATCATCGGTCTTACAAGTTCCTACTGCAAAGCATCAAGGATCTGATAGATCGAGAACGCCTTCGTGAGAATCGATCACGTATCGCGGAGCGAAATCGGCTCAAGCCAGGTGATCGACATGAGAAGAACGCAGCCCCTACTGTTGATCCTCGGCGAAAGCGTTCGCCATCGCGCGGACGATCCACTTCTCGGGAAAAGGGCATTTGTTGGGCCTTTTTGGAGGGAAAGTGTGCAAAAGGGAAAGATTGTAAGTTCAAGCATGAAAAAAGCCCAAGCGTGACCCTTCCAAGAAGCGCCAACCATCCCGGGAGCGGAATGAGTCGAGGGACAAAAGCACAGATAGGGAAAAGAAGCGGATGACTAAGGAAGAGATGGCGAAGACCCCATGCAGGTACGATCAACAAGGTACATGCAGAAGAGGAGACAAATGCTTTTTCAAACATGGAGAAAAGGCAGCACCGGCTCCGAAAACGAAGCCAAGAAAGGATTCCCCAAAGCCAAAGGCAAAAGGAGATACCAAGAAGGCTGCCATTTGCCTGAGCAATCGGTTTGCATGTCTTGCAACTGGTGTGCCCGGACGATCATGTCTCAAGAAGTCCTGTCTTCCTCCAGCGAGAAAGAGGTCTAAGTCGTCTGTCCGAAGAACTACATTCGTTATGAAACCTGAAATTCGCACCATCCCTGCTCGCGGGGAACATTGCAAGATGGTCAAGCGTGAGCGCAAGTACAGTGTGCATTTTGCCACGAGCGATCGCGTGCCCAAGAGCGACCCAAAGGCAGCCCACATGGCCAAGGTGAAAGCTAGGCAGTTGGCTGAAGTTGTTCGAAGCTTTGATAGCGCAACAGTGCCCTCATGTCGTTTCCTGTGCACCGAATCGTCGCTTACTTGTCGTGAGTGTCGAAGCTTGATCAAGTTGAAAACATGT